CCCTGAGGGCGCGCCATACCAGGACTCCACTCCTGCCCCTCCCCACCCCAGGCCCTGGCGGATGGCGCTGGGTTCCGAGCCGGCGGGTAGCTGGCCAAGCCCCCAGTCATCATGAAGGGGCTACAAGGGTCACCTAGAGACCCTGGGGCCGGCAGCGCCCACCCGGGACACTCACCGTCTTGGGCATGGTGGCGGCAAAGGCGGCGGACTTGGCGAAGTTTGGCTGGGAGCTGTCGGGCAGCGTTGAGCACACAGTACACACGGCTCGAACTCCGGGGGCTGGGGGCTCGGATTGGGTCCCTCACTAGAGTCGGGGCGACTGCTCGGCTTCCTGCTAACGGGCCACGACTTCACAAACCCCACCCAGGAAAGAGCCGCCCCCGTCGCGCCGCCCGCTCCTTTCTGTGGCCGGGCTTCCGCGCCGCTCCCCGCCCTCGCGCCCGCCTCCTAGCCGGCCGCCTGCCTCGCCCCGCCCAGTCCAGCCCTGCCCAAGCCGGCCACACCAACCACGTGGGTGCTGGACTGGGCCTGGGCACCCCAAGTGGGGTTCCCACCCCCGACCCCATGCCCACCCTGCTCCTCTCCCACCCACTTCACAGCCCCTATCCCTCTGCATCCGGGCCATCCGGGCCCTGCGGCCCCACCCCCAAACAGGGCCGGACCCTAGGCCGCACCCTGGGCTGCACCCTGGCAGAGACTTAAGCAGCCCCTGACTGCAACTTTCCACTGATAGGAAGCTCGCTACCTAATCAAAACTCCCCATTCCCTCTCAAGACACCTCTGACTCTTAGAACGTTCTTCCTCTGTGTATCTAAACTCCTTCTCTCTGTGGCTTCTGCCTGTGGATCTCACATCTGCTCCCTGGGGCCACTCAAATCCCCTGCTGTCCCTCACAGCTCCTCAGAGGTTTGAAGAACTCATGTCCCCCTGAAGTTTTCTTCTCCTGGCTAAACTACCTCAACTTTTCCAATACTTCATCAGTTCAGTTCTCTTCTGTAGGCCTCTATATCCCTTTTCCCATCATGTTTCCTCCTTATCCTTGCTTAATCCTCCTTTTCATCAGAACTGGGCTCCTTTTCCTCTTATCTGTCCTCTACTACTTTCCTTTTTTTAAATCCCAATGTCCACCTTCTTCAAATCAATGTCCTGATCCTTTAGCCCTCCCCCAACACATTCACTGATTTATGGCATTCACTTTCTGATAAGGCTATAATTACCCCAAGTTAGAGGCACCCCGAGCCCACTCCCTTGGGATGTGTCTGCCAGCACCCTTTCTACTTCTTGTCAAAGTCACAGAATCCCAGGACAGCAGTGTTCTAGACCATAGCAGTTATCTGGTTAAGTCTGAGTTTTAGTTTGAAAGTGGCTGGCTGTAGTCCTTTTTTCCCCATTTGACTGGTAACTGTTCTGAATAGTCTTTGTGAGGTAGGGCACCACATACCTCAGGGATGATAAGCCAACTTGGGGCAATGCAAAGGCTATTTGAGTGGAGTGGTCAGGACACCTGGCTTCTATGACTAGCTTTGCCATTAACTCACACTGTGAGCACTGTGAGGTCTTGAGTAAGTCCCTTCCCCTCTCTGGGCTTGAGTTTCTCTTTCTGTAACAAGAAAGGGTCAGACTCCTGGGCTTCCAAGGTCCTTTCCCACTCTGCCATTATAAAAGGATGAGAAAGGAAGTAGACTCCTAGGGCAATAGATGAGTCTAGCAGGGTTGCATAAAGAGTGGCCTTGCATGTACATTCAGAAATCAGTAGTCCTATTTCCTGCTCCTCTGCCTTCCCAGTTCAGCAATGCCCATGAGTCAATGTGCCTCAGTTTCTCTCATGGCTGCCAAGAGCCATTAATGTTTGCTAGGGTAAATAAGGTTCCCTGCCCAAACCATTTCCTTGAGCTGAGCTGTTGATTTGAGGAACAGCAGCACTCCCCAGCAAGCATCAGCAGCAGGGGTAGCGATGGCAGCCAATCACATTACTTAACATTGCCATGGCCCTTTTGTCTTAGAAATTCAAAGAACTCATAGATTCCCTCTTGCATATTCTCCTAGAGCCCACAGGGGCCTGGAACTAGGCTAAGTACTTACAGGGGGAGGGGAAGATGATTGGAGACTCCAACTTTCATTATCCATTGTGAAAAATGGAAACCCCCTGTGTGTCATTCCCCACATCCCATGCCAACACCCCATCCCAACACACACACACACACACACACACACACACACACACACACACACACGAGGGAGAGAGGGAGAGAGGGAGGGAGGGAGGGAGACAGACAGAGACAGAGACAGACTCTGATTAGTGAGTGTCAGGCAAGCATCTGAACACACTATTAAAAGGGAAAAGGGGCACAAGAGTCCAAGTGGAGGAAGGGAGGTCAGAGGATGGAGAAGCTAAGAAAGTTGATGGAAAGAAGAACAGAACAGAGAGGAGGATGGGGTTGGCTCCCTGGGAAGAGGATGGGAAATGGAAGGAAAGCATAGACTATCAGAGACTGTTTAGTCAAGCCTCCATTAAGGTCAGGGAACTGAGGATCAGAAAGAGGACAGAACTTACCCAAGATTGGACTACCAGTGTAGAGAATGGATTTAGGGGGTGATAGAGAAGATAAAGAGTTCAGTTAAGCTATTGCAATAGTACAAGCAAGAAACTTTGAAGGCTAGAACTACGGAAGTAATGTCCCCCCTCCCACTTCACCAGACGGAAGCTGGTCATGGTGATTATTGTCAAGCAGCTGGATATTGCTTGAAGATTAGACTTGAAACTCTCTGGCCAGAAAGGACCCATCTCAGTTAGCCCCCTGTCTCCAGAGCACAGCAGGGCAGAGGCAGCTGAGGTGCTTGCTCTCTTGTTCTTCAAGATGGCCAGGGAAACACACCTTTGTTTCCCACCTCTTTGTAAAACACTTTATGCCTTTAAGGTCAGAAATTCTGATCTCTCCCCACCGCACTCCTTACCATGATCCTATGAGAATTGAGAGTTGGCTCAGTCTTCCTAGGACCAAAGTAATCCCCACAATTAGGGTTAGATATGATGATTTTTATGCCAGTGTTTGTAGAAAGAAAACATGGGAATAAAGGCAATACTTCCCCACATGTGACGGCTACCCTTGGTAAGGGAAGTAAAAGGTATGAAGACACCTGGGTTTTTAGAAGAGCTGAATTTAGAAAGTTCAAGGACCAACAGGCAAACATTTTTCAAGCAGTAAAGCTAGATGAGGGACAGTATGATGAGACGGTGGTACAGGGACATTCTGGAGCTGGATTCCAAAGAAGCTGGGGGCATCTGAATCAGGGGGTAAGCAATGCAAAAGGATATTCGACCTGGGCTTTAGGGCCAGGCATGGGGTCCAGGTGCAAAGACCCAGGACTCCTAGGGGGTTGGGAATGTTCTGGAGCTGCAGCAAGTTTGAGTGTCAAAGTCAAGGAAATGGTAAGCAGGACCTACATAAGGCTGATTTATGTGAAAGCCTATGCCAAGCTCAAGAAGACATGAGATTGGACTTGTAATCACCTCCCACCTAAGATCTAAGTTCACTGCAATAAAGAAGCTTCTGCATTCTAAACGGCATTCCTCCTTTAGAGGACACAACAGTTCAGGAGAGTCAATACCTGAAAGACAGGGAGCAGTCCTGAATCCTAGGGATACTTTGGATAAGGAAGAACCTGCCCCCAATCCATTGGATGGTAGCTACTGAAAGTTTTTCATCATTCAGAATTTTCTGAGGGCTGCTTTTCACTTTCATCACTGTTAGAAAGTCCTTCTTTACATCTAAATTAGATCTCTTCTTCTTCACTCAGTACAATTGCTCTTGGCTGATGCTTGGGAAAGTAATTAACTAAGCCTGGAGGTTACTCTTTTCCATTCTTAGAGGAGAAATGTGGCAGAGAGGTGAGAACAAACATTAGCTTGAGGCCACACACTTCAAGGCTTTCTCTCTTCCTTTCCCTGGGTCAGTAGCCGAAGAACTAGGCTAGCTGTGCCCTTTACACAGACAAAAGAATAGGCAGAAGAATACACTGCTGTCTCCCCCAGGGTAGAAGGTCTTGGCAAAATACGGCAAAAGGTACAAACTGCAGCATTAGGGAAATCTTGCTTTTAACCATCCTCAATCTTTCACCCACTACTTGGAAACAAAAGCTAGGGTTTGAGCATATGAAAAAATGTTCAACCTCACTAATCATTAGGGAAATGCAAATAAAAACCACAAGGAGATACCACTTCACTCCAATCAGAATGGCTATCATCAATAAATCAACAAACAACAAGTGCTGGCGAGGCTGTGGAGAAAAGGGAACCCTGCTGCACTGCTGGTGGGACTGCAGATTGGTGCAGCCATTATGGCAATCAGTATGGAGATACCTCAAAAAACTGGAAATGGAACTACCTTATGACCCAGCAATTCCACTCTTGGGTATCTATCCAGAGAAACCCAAGACACTAATTCGAAAAAATATATGTACCCCTATGTTTATTGCGGCGCTATTCACAATAGCCAAGAGTTGGAAACAGCCGAAATGCCCATCGGTAGACGACTGGATTAACAAATTGTGGTACATTTATACAATGGAGTATTACTCCACCATAAAGAAGAATGAAATCGTAACATTTGGGACGATATGGATGGACTTAGAGACTATTATGTTAAGTGAAAT